GATACATTCAAAGGTACTGAAGGAATTGTCTGAGGTAATTTCAGAATCATCAGATATCCCCTTTGAGGACTCATGGATGTCGGGTGAGGTCCCTCATGATTAGAAAAGGGAAAATATAGTGCCCATCTTTAAGATTTTTGTTTTAAGACCAAATTCCAAAGCAACTGAGCTGAGCAAAATCGTTCTAGTTTGTGTGGTTTTACCACTGGGCAAGTCTTGTCCCTCCCAGACACATCAGTCCGGCACTTCAGATACTCCCCAAATCCATGGCAGGCATCCTATGTGCAGGCCACAAGCCAAAAGGCACTGGAGTTTGGATGCCCCCTAGTCATGCTTGGTACTTGCCAAAAGGCCGGAGGAGCAAGCCAAGGAGGAAAGTGTAAACACAGTCCCCCGTTACCACAAAAATGTGCAGTTGAGTTTCCTGCATTTGGGAAACTCACAGTGGTCAGCCTGCCCGGCGTGCAAGGGACAGGCCTCACCTGGGGAAAGTCTGTTGATCATGGTATCTCCCTGCTCATCTTTATGAAAGGGAAGAAGGAGGATCCAAGCAATTGCAGACCAAATCAGCCTGACTTCATACCTGGAAAATTCATGGGGCAGGTCATCAAAAAATCTATTATTAAGCACCTAGAAGAGAACAAGGGAATCAAGAACAGCCAACATGGGTTCACCAAGATTAAGTCATACCTGACCAGCCTGATTTCCTTCTATGTTACGGTGACAGGCTCTGTGGATGGGGGGAGAGCAGTGGATGCGATATACCTTGACTTTGTCACAGGAGCCTGTCCAAAGCTTTGCTATTCTCAGTAACAAGCTCATGAAATACAGACTAGTTAAAAGACCTCAGCTGCACCTGTGCAGGAAAGCTCAGGCTGGGGTTGCCATGGAGACCAGCTGCAGCTGTGCTAGTAGCGGGTACAGCAGAGCAGCGCCAGGGGGTTGCTCTGGAGCCGCTGGGAACTTGCAATGGGGCCATCTTGCTTCAGAGCCAGGGCAGAGCTGTGATCTATAGCCTGAACACCCCAGGCAAGGACACATAAGCAGGGGATCATGGCTCTGCCCCAGCTCTTTGCCATGCAGGCAGGGGTGGCTGGGAAGTGGAGTCCACGGCCAACTGGATCCGGCCCACAGGCCAGACTTGCCCATCCCTGTTACAGAGGGACTGAGTCTCTTATCTGTATATCCCTTATTGGTATGCATGGGTGAGGGAGTGAAAAACTCTTTTGTGCTTGTTTTCACTGTGATAACATGTTTTAACAGCTTTTAACCTTTTGAATATATGAGTCCAGGGAAGTTAGGTTTGGGTGCACTGGCCCTGCCTTCTAAAACTATTAAGTTCCTAAGGGTGTTGATACTGTAGGAGAAAGTAGAATAATGAAGCTGAGGGATCAATTCTTACTATGACTTCTATGGGACTCTAAGGTAAAGTGATTCTGTCTCCCCCACAAGCTCAGGAATCACAAGGGGAGGAGGAAAGGCTCTAGATTGGCGGTCTTGATGCCTGGATTTGGGAGCATCTGAAAAACATGGGCTGTTTCTCAGCCTCTTGTGGGCTAAGATCAAGTGTAGGAAGAATATGAAGTCCCAGACTTAAGGGTCTGGGATGGAGGATGCTTACCTATAGCATCTGGGGGCATCTGAACCTCAGATCTCCAGGCTTGGGTCTGCATGTAGGTTATACCTGCTAATGGATTTGGGAGTATCTGAACTCCCAAGGTGATAGGTCTGGGATGGAAGGTATTCACCGGTTGCAGCGCCATACATGGTGTTTCGATTGATTGAGTTCTGTCTGCTTGACTGATATCATTTTTGGAACGATTGAGTACTGCTTAATCAATATGATTTGGAACTGATTTGCCTAATTTGACCTGGACCACAAAATATATTATACAAAAAATCTGAAAAGTCTGGAAGGTACGACACTTGCTAGTGCTAATGCCACACAGACTCGAATGACTGAGCCCTGTTCAGTTCACAGAATTCGGAACTGATTTGTCTGATTTTTCCCAAAACATGAAATAAAAAAAACAAAAAGTAACCCTAGGGGAATGGTATTGCATCTCACCATCCAACCAGAAAGGGATGGTGAGGTATAAATCTCTTCAGTGGGTCCAGTCTTGGTCTGTTACCCACTGGGTCTTAAAGAGCTGAACTCAGGGTGCTACCAGGTCAGGTAGAAGCCTGTATTAGCTAGATCCTGAAAGAGCTGAATCTGCATCTAAGAGAGCTGGGTTGTCTTTGCAACTCAAAGAGGAGCAGCCCTCCCCAGCAGCAGTGAACAGTGACAAGGAACAGCACTCCCCAGAAGTGGTAAGGAGCCACAGAGAGCAGTGCTCCTGCAGTGGTGAGGCAAGGGAAACCTTGGGCTAAGAGCTGCACTAGCTCTTCTGACTGCACTGTTCACCCTGTGTGGGACTAAGCAAGAACTTAGAATCTATGGGCTAGGGACAGATATTCAAAAAGCCCGAGCCTGAATTGATTCAATCTTTACAGGTTAGTTTAACCTGCAGAGATTAAACTGATTTGCAAGTGGATAGACATTCACTTTTGAATCAGGAAATGCAGACACATGCCTGTAGTGGCTCAGGCTAGAAGTCCGGGGGGTGGCACTAGAGTGAGCCCTCTCTTCCCTTCCACAGTGCTAAACTGAGGGAGGTGTGGCCAGGCCCTGCCAGGATGCTAGGATTAGGGAGTAGTTTAAATCCCCACCCTGGCCTGCACAGTTCTCAGCCAGCGTGTGCCTGGAGGGGGAGGGGGAAGCAGCCCTTGCCAGGCTTTTCCCCTGCTTGCTGCTCAAAGGGGCGGGGGGAAGTATTGTCAGACCCCAGCCCCTGGCTAGCACTCTGAGGCAAGGAAGTGGGGGAGGGAGTGTGGACTGCATAGATCTGTTGATGATACTGAGCTTCTCAATCTCCCTCTCCCTGCTTTTTCATGCTGTCTGTAGAAAACTGTGGGCACCTACAGGTCATAATTGTTGCAAACCAGGCCATTTCTCACATCTCTCTCTGTTGAACACTGACAGATTTCAGACTTTGAAGATTGGATGGGAAATTTGTGTGAGAGAAAGGGGAGATTAGGAGGAACTTTCTGATTATGAGGGTGGTCAAGCATTGAAACAAGCTGCCTAGAAAAGTTGTGGAATCTCCATCCATGGAAGATTTCAAGGTTGGATGGACACTTAGCTGGGATTGCCTAGTCAGGGGTGATCCTGCCTTGAGCAGGGGCCTAGACTAGGTAACCCTGTGCGGTCCCTTCCAGCACTACTTTCTTAGAATCCTATGATCCATACAAGCTTGAAAAGATTTTAGGAAGGACACCAAGGATAGTCATAGATGTAGAAAGTTTTATATATGATGAGCAATAGCAAGTACCAGCCTGGTAGTGCTGTGCAAAGCTTCAGGTACTGATTTGATTTGGAAGAGATTTGTCCTGATTCGGTGGCCAAATCTCCAAATCCAAATTGAATCAGAGGACCAATTAAAGGGTCCAAATTGATTAAAAGCTCTCTGAATCAATTTGGAAAGGACTTTGAGAGATTCAGTGATTTAGGCAGTCCCTGCCTGCTGCAGCAGGGAGCTGGACTCGCAGCTGGTAAGTAGGAGGTGAGGGAGGAGGGGTTGGAGAAGGGGAGAGGGGAACCATATGGGGACCCCTGCCAGCTCCCCCAGCCCCTCCATGGCTGCCCCGTCCAGCCCCAACTCCCAGCCCTTTATAAAAAAAAAAAAAAAAGCCCCACTCACCAGGTGCTGCTGGGCAGGGGGTGATCCCCGCTGCCCTCCACTGCCCCATGCCATGTAGAAGGCTCTGTTACAAGCCCTGCAATACTCCCTTGCTCCCCCAGCCCTCCCATGGCTGCCTGGCCCGCCACAGCTTCGGCCCTTTAAGAAAAAAAAAAATACAACCCCTTCCCCCCCCCCCCCGACTCATCAGGTCCTGCAGCAGCCTGTATTTCTAAAGATCTATTTAATATTAAATATTTAAACACAGGTCATACAGAGCCCCCTATGCAGTGCGGGGCAGTGGGGATCGTCCCCCGCCAAGCAGGAACCAGTGAGTCCAGGGTTTTGGGGGGGTGGAGTTTTCTTAAAGGGCCAGAGCTGGGGCGGGCAGGGCAGCCATGGGGAAGGCTGGGGGAGTGGGTGGGGGTTGGGGGTTGCAGAGCCCCCCACACAGTGCAGGGCAGTACAGGGCAGCGGGGACTGCCACCCTGCGGGCAGCACCCAATGAGTGTGGGCTTTTTTTTTTCCCAAAGTGCCGGGAGCTGGGACAGGCAGTGCAGCCATTGCCGGGGCTGGGAGGCGGGGTGGGGGGTTGGGCCGGTGTGATTCAGAGATTTGGTAGGAGCTGAATCTCTAAATCAGATTTGGCTGAATCAATTCAGGACAGTGATTCGAATCACCGAATCAAAATCACTGCCCCCCGACTTGGCCAAATCCGAAGTGAATACTAGCCGCTTCGCACAGGTCTACAGCCTGGTAAACATTTTATTTGGCTTTTCAACCATGCCCAGTCTCTATGACCTCACGTAACAAGGAAATCAGAACAATTCAGGACAAAACCTATCCTTAGTATTTCTAGTTTTCATTTCATATCCTCTATGAAATTTAGCTGAGGTTTGAGAAATTGAGCTGAGGAATATATACTCAGACTGAGTTCTACAAATTAATTTTTACTGTTTCTGTTATGAAGCTACTGACTTTAGTTGGATTAGACGCTCATAATTGAGAACAGAATTTGGCCTGTAAGTTTTACTATGATTATGCATTTATCTAGAAACTAATTACTGTAAGAAGAGTGTTCCAGTTTTGTATGATGATCCCTACTAACTCAGACATATATTCATTCAGTTTTGGTTGAAATCGCTTTTTAAAATCAAGATTCATTTTGTAAGTTTAGAACATCATCTTTTACCAACTATATTCTTATAAGAACTTATGTTTTGTCTGAAATATTAAATAGGTCTTTAGAAATACAGAAAAAATGATAAAATAAGATACCTTTTGAACTTCATGGTAGTGATCTAAAGCTAAAATCCATTGACACATAGAGCAACAGGCAATGGACACAAGTCCAAGTTTTGATGGACTAAAATTAGGTGATTTTATGTAGCTTTTCAACTGCAGAAATACCTAAGAAGAAAACAATTTTAATATTATCAATCATTTTGAATTTTCATATGCCCCAGGGAATCTATGAGGTGCACCTCTACATGGGGAAAGTTGAGGTTCCATGCTTACAGGCATGCCATTGGAAAACCCTGAGGCGTGTCTATGTAAACAGGGAACATGCTGCCCATTGTCCTATGGAATAGGGCCTCTGCTTGACGTGGGACAATGGGTGATGTGGTTTGCCCAGTGAAGCAGATCCTGCCACAGCTAATCCACTTCATTGGGCAACATCTGTTTATATGCTTACAGAAATCAATTCAAATGCATTTTAGTTACGTGAAACTAAAAAAAATGCCACTATAAATATACCATAATTCACAGAACTCTGATCTCATGTTCATTCATTTAAAGTTAAAATAATACCAACAGCTAGAATTATATTTACATATTTGTGTTAGTGCAATCAAATATTAAGATTATTTACTTAGGAGTTATTCAAGATGGACTGTTCATATTTACACAAACAGAATGTACAAATTGGGTGAGGCTTAGCTACTGGAACTCTCCCTCAGTTGTGTTTATTGGTTTGTGCCTAGAATCCCACCATGGCAGCTACATTATAGTACTGGTATGGTAGTGAGTGGAACTGTATAAAATATCCCTTTGCCATCATGTCCAGGACCAAGAGTCAGTGTAATACTGGCTCAGGAATTGTCAAATTCATAGAATCACAGAAAAGTAGGGTTGAAAGGGATGTCCAGTGGTCATCTAGTCTAACCCCCTCACTACAGCAGGATCATCTCTACCCAAACCATCCCATACAAACCCATAATCTAACCTCTTAGTAAAACTACTGTCAACCTTGACACAACACCAGACATAATACCCTAGCCTGCCATTGGTAAAACAGAGCACCCATGGCAGCCAGTGCAGTGCTTCTGTAAAAGGTTGTTAATATAAACTCGACTGATCCTAGGTAGAGGCCCATGCCCCCCACTATGAAGGAAGGCAAAAATTCCCACAGTCCACACTAATCTGACCATGAAGTAACATTTCTTCCTGATCCCAAATATGGTAATTGGTCTGATCCTGAGCAGAGGAGCAAGACTATCTAGCTAGGAAGCTCTGGCTTTAAGTCCCAGCAGAAGCACTGGCACAACCCAGACATAATCCCCAGCCTTGGCTGCAGCCAACACTCAATGCCCCTGAGGAAGACTTAAAAAAACCCAAACCAACTGGACACAAGCAATGGTGTGGGTGGGGGAAGGGAGGTATTCCCTTTCAGCTCCATGTGGTAGGGTGCTAAAATAGCTAGCTACACTTTGGGCCTTGAATTTTTTAGTGTATGAAGGGTCTTGTCAGTTCTGGGGTGAATGTGCTTCATGTCCCCAAATGATAGGTCTAGTATAGTTTGGATGTTCTTGCAGAAAATCGATCAATGCAGCCATAATGATAGTCATATGACTACTGCCAATGCTATGGACACAACAGAGAAGTTGGCTGTCAAAAGCAGCCTGTAGGGGTGTCTTGGTTGCTAGTTGCCCATCTGAAATTAAGGACATCAGGTCTTCTGTTCCAAGTAACACAGTCTGTCAAGTCTGTTAGCTTTTCATAGACCCACAACTTGTAGTGGGCTATAAGTCTGGGAGGTGGCTATTTAAAACTGTAGGCTAGCTGATGACGAGGTTCTCTTGTCAAACAGGTTCAGCCTCTTGGGTCTGCCCATTCTCTGTCAACCTGGCCTTCTTTCACAACTGTGACAACCAGGGAGGATGAGAGTAAAGATAGGTGTTTCTAAATGGCATTCTATTTTGTCTGCTGGCTGAGCAATGAGATGACAGGATGCAGGGATTAGCCAAATTGTTTTGGTTGAGTCCATTACAGCTTTGTTAATAACCTATCCTTGCTGGGTCCACTGACTGCAGTATGTAAGCCAAGGAATATGACTGTTTGGATACATTTTCTGAGTTAATCTTTAATGGGCTTGTCGCTCTTCTCATGGGTTCTTTGAAGCTTCTTACGGCTTCTCAGGACATACCAAATTTGCACAGGGGGAGGGCAGGTCTTTGGATTCTCCTGTTCTTTTCACCAGTAAAGACTGTTCACAATGGTCTGGAGAGAACTGAAAAATGGCCCTGTTGTAGGTTGTGCTGGTATTTGTTAGGAATTTCATCTTTGATTTTTCTAAGGTAGTCATTGTAGTGGTCCAATGTGTGGTTTTGTCCACTGGTAAGTGTCTAGTCATATATTCAGGATCTTAAATGGTGTTCCCACATTAAGGG